CCCTTACTAATAGTTATAGTGCAATGCATGTAGTTTCTTATACTAAGATTTTATTGATAATTGTTGTTTCCCGTAATTTGATGGTAGGATTATTTGATAATCACCATTTTGCTACTATCTATTGTTTTGTTAATTGTATATTTTCTTTTGTACTTTCATTACGTCCTTTTTAGTCTTTTTTGTCTTGAGAAAAGAGTTTATCAAAAACAGTTTTTCTACCACATCTCAAACGTAAAGAGAAGACATGTATACACTCCATTCCTCCTACCTCACTTTGTGGTAGGGGTGTATATGACCCGATTGGTTTGAGTTTTTTTAAATATCAAACCAAATCATTTGTGTTAAAATTTTTAAATTTATAAACCAAACCAATAAAACTCGAGTTTTCAACTTCAGATTTTTTTTGGTTTTTTTGAATTTTTCAAGTTCTTTTGGATTTTTGAATTTTTTCTATAAAGTATTCATACAAACATATTACTTACTTGTACTTTTAATATTTCTTTAGTCCTACCAAAAAATAACTATGTAAGTTATTTCTCAAGAAAATAACAAAAAAAATGATATTATTAATGACACTAAAATATCCAACAAAAAATTAATAATAAAATCGTGTAAAATAAATATTGCAAATTAATAAGTCATAATGAAATTGATCATAATTTAAAGTATTAAATCATGATAAAATAAGTTTCATAAGTATTAGAAAAAAGTAAAATTAGATCATGTGTTTTAATTGTCTAAATCTATGTAAAACTAAGAAACAAATATTCAATATTATTGTCATTCTTAGTGTTGATTTAATTTTCTTTTTGCATTAGTATTAATTTGAATTTTATTTAAACTTTATTATAATTACCAACATGTATGGACTATATCTTTATTAGATCATTAAGAATTCTAACTTGCAAATATGAAATAAATATATTAAAATATAAAAATTATGAAAATGTATAAGAGATATTTAAAAATTATATCAAAGTAAATATTTTTACGTATAAAATAAAATTTTAAACTATATATATAATATTGGGTTGGTTTCGTCTCGGGTTGATTTTTTTAGTTGAAACCAAATCAACCCAAATATAGTCGGATATTTTTTCCAACACCAAACAAGTCAAACCAAACCACTAGTAGGATTTTTTTTTTTGATTTAACTCGATTTGCGTTTAATTTGATTTTCAGGTCGATTTTGTATATCGCTACTTTGTGGGAATACAATCAGTATATTTTTGTTGTATTTAATAGTGTATTAATGAAGTGATACCATATAAAGTGGTAACATAAAGAGTACATATTATTATGATATAGTTATTAGCTAAGCTAAGATCCTATTCTTTATTATTATATCAAAACATATATTTGGAAGGACACCTTTTTGGAACAAATAGACACGAGCAGTTAATTTTAGGTTTTTTTTGTAATTTTACTGAAAAGTGAAGGATGATTAAGTAAATTCATTTATTTTTTGTAACCAAAGTATCCTTAAAAGTAAAACCACTTTGATTATATCAAAACCACTTCTAAAAAGTCAAACTCATAATTGTTCCTTTACATTTGTTCATAACTTTTTATTATTATTCTTATTAAGTATTTTAATTCATTAAACTTGGAAATTTCATATTTTTAGTAGGATTGTTTTGCTCGTGATTTAGTTTGGATCATTATTTAACTAAATGAAAGTAAATATAATTAATTTAATTTTTCATATGTTAAAATCAAATCAAATTAATTAAATCAATTTTTCATAACTTAAACTTTTTTTTTATATATTTCTTGCTATTTGATTTTTGTGGAATTCTAAAAAATATACGGTACTATAAATTTTTGTTATGGTACATATATCATCCTTCAAAAAATAAATGACGCATTATCTAAAAATTTAATCATTTTAAAGAAATATGATAAAATTATTTTCAACGATTTTACTATTTTCTTACAATATTAAAGATGATATATTAAGTATCTTGTTAATATTTGATTTAAATTAAAATAATCAACTGATAAGAAAGAGAGTAAATACAGTTCTTTACGTAATTATGAACGAATGATATTGCGGCATTAATGGTTAAAATTTAAACGAATAGTCTATAGGTCACAAGTTCGAATCTAGGTTAGGTCCCAATATTAGGTATTCTTTACAAAAAAAAATAGATTTTTTTGAAGCTATTAGGATTTAAATAATTTTTAATTTTATATTACTTTGATAAATATCATTGTAAAAGTTTATATTTAGATTGTTTCACAAAAATTGAAGATTTTTCACTATTATAAGTTGAATCATTATGATGAATATAAATGAAATAGATTAGTATTATATGAGTTATGCTTCCTCACAAATACAAGTCAATTGAATGTGACTATATATGCATGATCAAGTTATAATAAGATAATATCATTAGTAATGGTACATGTCAATCTTTGATCGATTTATCTTCACATATTAGGGGTTATTAGACTATATTTATTGATAATATCACATTTTAAATCTTATAGCGATATTCATTAAACAACTAATATGAAAGAACGTAAATACATTTTCTTACGCAATTATGAATGAATGTTATTGCAACGCAAATAGTCTATAGGTCACGAGTTTGAATCTAGGTTATGTTCTAATTTTAGATCTTTTTTTTATAAAAAAAATAGACTCTTTGAAACTTTTAGGATTTAAATAATTTTCAAATTCATTTTTTAAAAAATAAGATTATAAAAGTTTATATTTGGACCGTTTCACAAAAATTGAAGATTTTTCATTATTATAAGTCAAATCATTATGATGAAAATAAATGTAATGGATATAGTATTATATGAGTTATGCTCCCTCACAACTACAAGTTAATTGAATGCGATTATATATGCATGATCACGTCTTAATTGGGTAATACGATTAATTATTGTACATGTTAACCTTTGATCAATTTATCTTCACATTTTAGTAGTTATTAGACTATATTTATTGATAATATCTCATTTTAAATTTACTGAGAAAATGGTCAAACGATCCCTCAACCTATTAGTCAATTCTCAACCACATACCTAAATTTTACGAAGTCCTATTACCCCCATGAACCTTTTATTTTTGATATTTAATAACTCTTAAACGCTCTACTTTTGTCATACCCAGATATACACATATGTTTGAATACACACTCTAGGTGGACCTATTTTATTTAAATTTTATTTTCTTATTTATTTCAGATACAGATACAATAGACCCCACTTCTTTTAACTTATTTTTTTAATTAGGCTAAATTCTCAGTTCCAAACATAACCACATGTTTACTCTTGAATGGAGTATCAACCTTTCTTCTTCTTCAAGATTAATTGTTCTGCACCTGATAATTTTTAACAATGCTATGTATCATGTGATGTAATTTTTTAAAAATAAATAAAATCAATTTTTGAATGTATAATTAGCTCTTGAAAATCGTATTTTCTAAATCTTGAAGGTCAATTGTAATGGTGAGGGAGAAAAATGTTTCATGATTCTGCTTGCTGAGGAATGTGAAAAGAATGAGTGTACATACATTGTGGTTTTACACTTATGAATTGAAGAGGGAAATAACTTATTTTTGGGCATTGATATGGAGAATAAATTTCAAGCTCCATACCTAGATCTAGTTGACCTTGCAATTTTATAGTTATTAGTGAGGAAAATAAATTTGAACCTTGAATCTAATAGCGAAAAAAATTAGAAAAGATTAGAAATCCGAAAGGTTCAAGATTTGAAATGGAAGTTACCACTGAAGCTTTGAAATTGTTCCCAAGCTTCAAGCTTTTAAAATGGCAGAAGAAAGGAAGAAGATGAAAGATTTGTGGGAGAAAAGGGGCTTAGAAATGCAAGTTGTAATTGAAAGACTTATTTTAGGATGATTTGGACTTACAGTTGATTCCAAAACACAGAAAATACGTTTTAGATATATCTTCACGCGCCTAAAGGAGGTGTATTCACCTTCTTGGACATGTCAAACATTTAAGGGTTAAAAGATATCGAAAACAAAAAGTTCAGGGGGGTAATAGAACCTCCGTAAAGTATTGGTATGTAGTTGAAAATTGACTAACACGTTAGGGGGGGGGCATTTGACCATTTTCTCTAAATTTACTAGTGATATTCAATAAAAAACTGATATGAAAGAGAGTAAATACATTTCTTTTCGTAATTATGAATGAATGCTATTGCAGCTCAAATGTAAAAGCTTAAACGAGTAGTGTATAGGTCACGAGTTCGAACCTAAGTTTAGGTTCCCAATTTTAGATATTTTTAGTATTTTTTTAGGTCTATAGGTCACGAGATCTTTTTTCCCAGGCCTATCGTATGTACCATTGAGATTTTCATGATTTAAGGACAACAAACTATCCGTCTAAAACCACAACATTATTCAATACTTTGTTTGATTGACTATTTTGACTATTCGGATCCATCTTATTAAAATTATATAAATCTAACAACAAAATAAAATCTTGAATAACAAAATAAAATAAAACTGATGAGTGAAGTAAAGAAGAAAAAATAAGTAAAGTAAGAGAGAGAGAGAAAATAAGAAAGAAAAAAATAAGAGTGATTTTCTATTTTGAATGGAAACAAAGAAGTAATTTTGAAGTCAAAATATTATTTAGTCATTTACCCATTTCTTGTCATTTAATTCCAAAAAAGTGTCTTACCATTTAGCAATACTCTTATTATATAGGGTTGAGAACCAAAATAAGCCACCAAAATATAAAAATAACCAAAATAAGTCACTATTTTAGTTAGTAACTAAAATAAGCTTAGTGGAAAAAAAAGTTCCACTTTATCTAATTTTCTAAACGTTTTCCATTAGTGTCATAACGTGTATTTTAATGTATAACGGAACTTTTTCTTCCACTTTACAAAGTGGAAGAAAATATTCCACTTTATAGAAAATTACTTTCATCTTTTCACCTTCTCCTTCTTTCTTTCACTTTAATGGCTTTTATGTTACTTGTAGATGAACATTGATGGTCCCAATCCGACAAATGAAGCGGCCCCACAATAAATAAATCAAAAATTCGGAGTAGCACAACCCGACAACATAACAATTCGTCCCTACAAATTATATAAATTAGGTATTTCTTTAACATCTCATATTTTCTTTATTTAGAATGTGTTTCATTTATGTCACCTTGTCTTAGTATAGTATTTTTGATTTAGCATTCTTTAACATCTTGATTTAGCATTCTCTTAATTTTTGCTTGTTAGTGGAACATTAAACATTTTTTAGAATGATAAATATATTTTTTTAATGTTCTTGAAATATTTTCCGACGAGAAGCTGCTTCATTTTCCGGCGAGGTGTGTAAGATGCTTTATTTTTCGGCGAGAAGTTGCTTCATTTACCGGCAAGGGATTGTTTGCTTAATTTTTTTGTTTAAAAAAAAATAAAAAAATTGTTTAGAAAAAGAGAAGCTTAGTAGGCACACATATGAACATTAAAGCGCGCATTTCTCTACCCCTTTTGCTGCATCACATGCCAGCTGAAAACTTGCACATGTGGATACTATACTAAAATATATAGGTTCCACTTTGTAAAGTTTATGTTATCTCAATCTCCGTTATGCTTCGATTGGAATACTATACTAAATATAGAGGTTTCATACAATAATAACTCCTGCCATACTTCAAAATCAAGCAAGTTGGATCGGCTATATCATTAATCTTCATTGTTCATCTCGCTTCATTATTCAAACAAAAAAATATCATAATGACTAATTTTCATATCGATTATGTTCTTGATATCTAGTCAGCTAATAGTGCTCATTTGATCGCAAATAAATGCAAATAACTAATTTAGATTTCTAATTAAAATGATAACAATTATTTTCCCTCTTTCTAAATGAGGATAATTACTATTTCTGTGATTTTGTTTTAGTAATTTCTTTTGGAGTTAGCAAACTCAAGTTATTTCACCAACTAGAGCTGAAAGCCGAGAGAGTTATATCGTTATTCTTTGTTAGATTTTGATTAATAATAGGAAGCATTCTTCATGATTATGTCACAGTTAATAACTAAGAATTTTAAACATTATTTAGTTAAAATATTTTCTATCATCATATATGTTCTCACTACTTACTCAATTAGTATTTTTTTTTCTTTTACTCCCCTTCACAATTCAAAAGCTAAAACCTCGCTGAGGAACCTCGACAAATAATAAGAGGTATAATATAGAATTTCACTTTTACCGTAGAGGTCCAACAAAACTATAGAAGTAAATAAAAAGCAGAACTGTCTAGGCATTAATATGTCAAAATATAATTATATTATACGAATTAATATAATTTTTCTTACAGTATATAATGGAGCGTGTTGTGAATCCTTGACCGATTGATCGTACACTTCTTCTCTCTCAGCATGAGCATAAATCAGAATTTTTATGGAAAGGTGAGATACCATTTAGTAACCTTATGAGGACGGTGCACATGAATGATGCCTGGAATTTATTTCGTTTGCACCGACCTCATGAACGTGTTGAGGAGATCTTACGTAGGCTCGGACTGCATGATGTAGTTTGTGTGGGCAGGATGCAGTACGATCGTGCCCTTGTTACAACTATGGTTGAGCGTTGGAGGCCAGGGACTCATTGCTTCCACTTACCTTTTGGTGAGGTCACGATTACGTTGCAGGATGTGCAGGTCTTGTTTGGTTTGCGCATCGATGGTGATGCTGTGTACATTCAGGATGCTACCCGAAGGATTCGTCCATGGCGTACTTTATTAGAGACACTCACAGGATGTACCATAGCACCTACTGATATGGATGGTGCAAGTCGGGTGAGGATACATAGCATTACCGGCTACTTGCGAGATCAGTTACAAGTAGATCCGATAAGAGATGCTACTCCAGTGGAATGAGTGGAGAGGATTGCTAGACTTTACATGCTTGTTATATTAGGGGGCATCCTATTTCCGAACACTTCAGGAAACCTTATTAGTTTACAATACTTGGCGTTCCTAGATTCTATCCATGATGTAGGTAAGTACAATTGGGGCAGTGCAGTGCTAGCCTACTTGTACCGCGCACTTTGTCGAGCGTCTATCGGTAATGTGGTTGACATTTGCGGATTTATTCCTCTCCTTCAGGTAACTTTACTAAAGTTTTAAAATATGAATAATTATTATAAAAACCCATATAGTTTTAAAAAAGATTCACATACATTTTCCTACAGCTATAAAAATATATATATATATGTGATTATCTATTTTTTTTGGTTAATGATGATAATTTAATTATTTTGTTTGTCACATCAAGGTTTGGTGTTGGGAGAGGATCTTGACTGTACAGCCATCAGCTCCTCCTCAACATGATGGTGACATGTTACTTCCATATGCTAGGCGTTGGACGCGTGGAATTGATAGGGATACCGAGTCACATCATGTTCTTATCCCGATTAGAGACCAGTTAGACTGCATGACGGAGGATCAGGTACATAAAATAAATTTCATTATATTTGACTGCTAAATATTAAATAAAATAATACACATATAATAATAAATATACAACAAAAAATGATATTTTGCTGACTCTAGTAGTCCACATGAATTGGACTATAAATAGTTTTACTATGTTATTTTATTTAAAATAAATAAATAAAATTGGAGCATTAAGCTAGCCAAACTTTGTATGATATTATACTATAACTTATTATACTAGAAAATAAATTAATTAATTAGGTGAAGAGTCAATTGCAATCTTGATTGATGGGAGAACTCAATCTTTGAAAAAGGTCAAAATTAAAGTTGTTAAAGAATCAATTTGTGAGATATACACTTGTTATTTTTGCGAAAATAACTTTATATATAATAATATTTATTGATAAAAAAATATCGATTAAATCGTTATATATGCTTCACATGTAGTAAGAAAGTGCAACATGCCAACAAACATTAATGTTAACATATCAATTGTCTCTGCTTGAACATGTAGTATATGTTATCATCCACACTATAATTTATGTATATATGTATGTGGATTCCTACGTTGTTACATTTCATTAATTAAAAAATATAAATTTCATATAAAAGTAAATCAATAATAATTTTATTTGTATACTAATCAGTTAATGTTGATTTTATTTAATTGTTACATTTTGAAAATAGTTTCGATGGACACCGTACAATGAAATTTTACATACACTGCCTCATTGTTGTGTGGTCGATGAGCCTCTATGGATGGCATGTGTCCCTATGTTTTGCCTAGAGATTGTTGAAGTGCACTCGCCTGATAGAGTAATGCGTCAGTTTGGTCATTCCCAGCATGTACCTGTGATTCCTAGTTGGGGAACCAACCACCACGTGCATGATCATCGTAGGAGGCTTGGACCAGAGGTTCTTGAAATGATGGATAAATATTTTCGTGATTGGGGTAATCGACATCAGAGTTTAGCTGTTGAGGTAAATGATGGTACTAGCGGGGCAGGGTATAGATTATGGTACATGCGGCATGGAAGATTGCTTATAGGTAGGCCTACATTAGAGGTTGACGTATCGTCAGGCTTTGTTCATTCTGCTGGTACTAGTATTGCAATGTCCAGAGGACTATTTAAGTTGTATAGTCTTGCATTACAGTGGCAGAGAGACACAACCTCAGCTTCACATGGTGAAGAGGTATCTCAGATTGTTAAAGATACATTGCTTGAGGCCGGAATACAATTTAGAGAGCCATTTTTTGAGGGAGATCCTTTATTTGAACATGTGGGCGCAAGAGGACCCAGACGTGGACGGATGGGGCATAGAGGTAGAGCTCGAGGACGCACTCGAGGACGTAGCGCTGGTGGTATACCTATTCCTCCAGACATAGAGGCACATGTGAGAGTAGATGCTGATAATTTGCATGTACATCAGTTTGGCACGTCAGATATCATGAATTTATTACATATGTCATTTGATTCTTATTCAAGATCGACTCGAGATGTGGAAGGAATTGGACATATGAGCTATGAATCAACAATAGATGTTGGAGATTATATACCTGATATCGCGGTAAGAATTAACAATTAATTTTAAACTTAAAACATTACTAACTTATATAAATATTTCAAAATAAAAAAATAAAACTATTTATATATTTTTGTAGGGCATATCAGGTACTGTCCGTTGTGACACCGAAGATACTACTATTTATAACACTCAAGATTTTATTGAAGGATTGTTTGATGATCCAATTGAGTCGCAGGTTCGTGTTATTTATCTATTTAATACAGTAGTTATTAACATTTTGATTTTATATTAAATTAAGTTTTAATTATTTTTTAGATTCATACTACGGGCCCTTCATCTACAGTGGAGGAGAGTCCCACGACGATCATAGAGGATGTTGTTCCGACAGTCACTAAGGGTCCCGATGTTACACAGGTTTATGTTATTTATTTATTTTTGAAATATTTATATTAATTATTAAAACTTTGATTTTATATTAAATTAAGTTTTAATATTTTAGATTCATACTACGGGACCTTCATCTACAGTGGAGGAGAGTCCCAAGACGATCATAGAGGATGTTGTTCCGACAGTTAATGAGGATCCCGATGTTACACAGGTTTATGTTATTTATTTATTTTTTGAAATATTTATATTAGTTATTTTGTAGACTTTTGTTTTGCACCACATTGTATATTCCTATCATTTATACTTTTATTTTTTAATGTCTACTATCTAACTTTGTATTTGCAGACCTCCTTATCACCACTCTCGTCTCCAGATGTTACGTTCATTATGCCAGTGGATGATATGCCGCAAACACCCGGAAGGAAAAAACTTGTTAAAAGAATTGTAAAGAATGTGAACATAAAGGATCTTCCGGCCAAAAAGAGGAAGAGGAACAATTAAGATGAAGATGGATATACGGGACTTAGACTGCGAGATGTTTTACGGATTTCAAAAAAGGGTTGTGGAACATAATATTATTATATTTGTGTATGAATCTTTTTTTGAGGGTGTATAGTAAATTATTCTAATCATATATAGTTTTATTTTGGTGTATGTATCTTTTTTTTGTGGTGTATAGTACTATTGGTTTAGTTATATATATTATTATTATTTTGTGTATGTATTTTTTTTCTTTTAAAAAGTGAATAAATTTTTTAAAAAATTTAAACATGACTTGAAGATGATCAAAAGTTCGAATAAATAGTTGCATAAAAATTGATACAAGAATAAATTAACACAATTAAACATCTTTCTCTAGCTACTACTAACATATGAGGCGTTTCGAGTTCGTGAATGACAGTTGCGCCTATCATGGCCTATTTGTTTGCACGTTGAGCACTTGCGAGTGAGTGTACTTGTAGGAACATCCATTTCATTTTGTATACGGGTGGTTTTATTTACGCCCACTTTTCGTAAATAATTTTTATTTGCTATCATAAGTAAGGGACTATCAGGCCAATACTTTTCACCGTCGAGTGGATTGAATTGTCCAAAGTAGGCATTTTTTTGTAGCTACGCACAGTGAATTCTGGTGCCATATGCTCCCATGCTTGATACCCAATTTGATCAAATCCCTTTATTGCATGAGAACATGGAATATGGTATGATTGCCATTTACCATATTGACATTTTCCTTGTGATGCATTTACAATGTGCTTATTACCACCACGACTATGATGCATATGTGTTTGCACCTCAAATATGTTTTCCCTTTGTTGGTGATAGTTGATTAGTGTGTGACGTTGTGACTCTTTTCGAATATCCTCAAAAATCTTGAATGGTTTAGGCATTCATTGTTGCTTTTCCTGTACTAGATGATTAACAAATTTTGATCTTGTAACAAATCAATTCACAACTTGATTGTAAGTGAGTCTTACCATTGCAGTAACTGGCAGACCCCTTGCTAATTTGAGAAGACCATTGAATGATTCAGAACTGTTTGTTGTCAGCATGCCCCATCTCTTACCTCCATCCCTGTGCAATGTCCATTTATCAAGATCGTTCTTCATTAGCCACGCATATGCTTCCGCATTAATCTCCTTGATCATTTCCATTTTTTCCAAAAAAAATTTCTCCTGACAGTGATTTGCAACTGCCCATAATAGATTGTTCAAAGTGATATTTTTTATTTTTTTTTGAAAATTGGCCTTCAAATGTCTTAAACAAAAACGATGAAACCCAAATGGAGCCTGCCAATTCGGAGAATTATACACGTATGAGAGTATTCCGTGATGCCTATCTTATATCAATGTGGACCCCTCTACGACCCTTGACAACGTGCAAGTGCAAATGATCCAAAAATAAAGTCCATGTCTCTATGCTCTCATTTGCAACTATTGCAAATGCCAAAGGTAATATAGAGCCGTTACCATCTATTGTAATCGCAATCAACAACTTGATATCATATTTTCCATAAACATGTGTTCCATCGATCGATATAATAGGACGATAATGCACAAACCCATCAATGCATGGTTTAAAAGCCCAAAACACATAGTTGAATACATGTTCAATGACATCGACACGCCGCTCTGTTTTCCATTCTACTATTGTTCCAGGGTTGAAGTGTTTCAAAGCTTCCATGAATCTCGGTAACTCGGCAAAAGAACCCTCCCAAGTACCATAGACTTTTTCAAAAGCCCGCTTGCGACCAAGATAGGCTTTTCTTCTACTTATCGAAATGCCATATGCTTTAAGAACGGCTGTTTGACAGTCTTTGATGGGAAACCTGAAAAGTAATAATAATATTAATTATCAAATAAAAATGAATATTTTCTTATTAAATAAGAATCATCCAAGGATAAAATAGTACCTTGGCGTTCTTTCTATATCAACACGGAGGACGTTAGCAATCATCTCAACATCCAAGTTGAAATGTCCTTCGCGACATGTACCCATATCACATGTATGTTCTTCAATGTATCTTCCAACTTTCCACATGTTAGCATGTTTATCAATAAAAGAAGTCAACCTAAATCGGCATCCTTGTTCTACACGCCTGCAAACAAGTCGCCATGATTTTTTTGTCGATTTAATAACAAAGTACTCCCTTGCTACTTTCAAATGTAGAAGTTTAACTGCTCTTTGCAACTGCTTCTTTGAATTGAATAACATGCCTTTTTCAATATAAATAGCACCATTCATGAAATCTTCTGGTTCATGCCACGTGCGTTGTGATGTATACTCATCATATGTATCACCAAAGATATCTTAACCATCCGGGAGATGATCAAGATAAGGAATTTCATGATTATGAAACGGGCTCATGGACATTGGTCTTGGCGATTGATTGAGAGTCGAAAAATCATCATCACTAGATGATGCCTCAAATGGAACATTATCTCCTGATTCCTTAACATTAGGCAAATCATCACTATCATTAGCTGAAGGTGAGCCATAATTAGGAAGGTCACGATCATCGATATTCACAGGATCAATGGGTTCATCTTGTGTAATGTTTTCCCTATATATGTAAAAAAATATAAATATTTCGCTCATGCTATTTATTTACTTAAATAAAAAAAAATCAAACGTTGAACATACTGAAAATCATCTGCACCAAAAGTAGGCGAGACATGAAAATTTGAGGATGTCCCAACATTTTCCGTCATTTCAAAGTGTGATGACTGACCAAAATAATTATCTAATCCATAACTTGGAGCAATATTCCTATCTTGCTGAGGTAAACCGCTACAAAATATATAATAATAAGAAAAATAAATCATATAAACTAATAAATAATCGACAAAATCAACAAATAATGATTGAAATATAATTATTGAGCATTACCGATCACTTTCATTGATAGTTTCATTTAAATCAAAATCATATCGACCGGTAAGAATATTTTGATAATGAGTCATGTTAGGAAAATCAGCAGATTGAGTTATTGGAAATTCATCAACGCTATTACGATTTTCTAATTGGGGATTGACATCGACTGATAAATGAGAACGTTGTTGACTAATCTTAGGCTCCTTCCTAACATAGATTTCAAGTATTGTTAACTTGATTTGATCTATGTAGTCATTTGGAACCCTCAAAAAGTCGGTTAACGATTCGTCATTATAGATAATCCACTCTCCAAAATTAACTTGTCCTTGTGATAAAAATGAAGTAGGGTATTTTCCGACTATAGTCAAATTATAATCAGTACTGTTTATACCCATTCTTTTATAAATTGATGAAATGAATTTATGATATCGAACATTAATTGGATATTTAGCATTGTGTTTGGGAGGACAATTATAGTAAACGGTATTTCCGTCATGTATAATTTCGCCATCCCAATAAATTGAAACTTTAACTTTAGGCGTAGAAGACATTTTTTTTTTTAGATTGAATGAACAAAATATAGAAGATTTTTTGTTGTAGGTGATTTCAATCATTTTAAACGACCTTAAATAGAGATTGAAAATTTTTCAGAATAAAAAAAATAAAAATACATAGTGTAATATTTTTTTCCATTTTATGACATGTCAAATCAACATAATTGTATGACAACACTGAAAAAGCTTTTTCGAAATGTGAAAAATATCTCTCTTATAAAGTGTAATAAAAAGTTTCATTTTAGAAAGTGGAAGAAAAAGTTCCACTTTATAAAGTGGAAGAAAAAGTTACTCTTTATGAAGTGTAAGAAAAAGATCCACTTTATAAAGTGGAAGAAAAAGTTCCACTTTATAAAGTTTACTTACACTTTATAAAGTGTAAGAAAAAATTTCGTTATATATTAAAAATACACGTTATGATACTAACGAAAAATATTTAAAAAATTAGTTAAAGTGAAACTTTTTTTTCCACTAAACTTATTTTAGTTACTAACTAAAATGATAACTTATTTTGATCATTTTTACACTTTTGTGGCTTATTTAGGTTTCCATCTCTATCGTAGATCCTCGCTCTCTACTGTTCTCTTGGACTACAGTTGAAGTGACAAAATTATACGGGCCAAAGTTATCATCAAATCTCAAAGGAGGAGGAAAAAGTGAAAAGTAAAAAATTCGAATAGACTAGGAAAAGGTAATAAAAGATGAGTAGATGAATAAATAAGTGATTTCCATCCACCGCCATTGATAGATCACAAAAACCCTTTTTTATTTCAAATAATAGTGTCCCTCCACCGCCATTCCCTTTTTGTTTTAAATACAAAATGATTAGATAGTGAAAGAGCAAAAGACGAGTGCCTTTATTTTTGTATCATGAGATGTTATGATAACCCCCCGGATTTCGACAGTATTTGGAGATTTCCTTTTTTTTTTTTTCCGCTTAGCTTCTCCAATTTCCAATTCCAATATATGATTTTTTTTTTCTTTCTTTCTCAAAGTTAAAATAAGCTTGACTTGTCATATAATTTCTTCAATCTTTAATATAAGATATTTACTTGTATGAATGATGGTCAATTTCATCTTAGTAAAGTTGTGTTGAACACGCAAATAAAACTTCATATTAGTACGTATATATAAGATATATAAATATTTTTTTTAACGATATAAAACTTTTTATCAAAGACTAAGCTAAGCCCAAAAGTTAATATTCAAAATATCTTGGGACTATGATGCCATTCGAAGTGATCTAACCCATCATTCATTGACAAATTCTCTAGCGAAATAGAAATTTCTCAATCTACGAAGCTAATTCGTATCAAACGGCGTAAATGTTCATATTTTTATAAATAGCGCAAACATCCCATCTATACAGTAAGGGGCATTTTCAATAGAATCTCTCACTTGATTTCAGATATAAAAATTTCTTTTTTAGTTCTTCGTGGCGCGTTAACTTCTCAAATTGAACTAAGATTTTCCAATTATAGTATATAGTCGGAAGGAGCTCACGTCATTCGAGGTGGACTAAACCAACATTCATTGATAAATTCTATAGAGAATTAGAGATTTCTCAAACTTCGAAACTAATTCGTGTCAAACCTGAATGTCCATATTTGAAAAAATAGCGCAAACATCTCATATATAGTAAGATGCCTTTTCAGTTGAATCTCCCACTTGATTTTAGACAGTCCAATAAAAAGATTTTTGTTAGTTCTTCATGCCTTGTTTACTTCTCAAACTAAACTAAGATTGTCCAACTAGAGTGTAGTCGGAACTAGCTGTTTTTGTATTGAAAATGTTTTCAAATATCAAATTGAACTAAGACTCGAAGAAAGCAAATGATTCAAGCTCCTTACAGAAGGTAATCAACTTGATAACTGATAAGCTATATTAACAGAGCAAAATCACTCTTTCAAAAGCAGGATCAATCCAACTTATTATTCTTAGCCTAACAATCTATTCGTGGAAGTAACCAAATTATCCAAAAGTCTACTTAGTAGACCTAATATCATGTCATCACTTTCAAATACAAGGAAGTTGGACTAGTTATTAGACCAACTATTGCACTCTCTCTCTCTCTCTCCAACCTAGCCAAATGAATATATCTAGTTGAAAGACTCTTATTCTGATTTAGAACAAGAAGATCTTTCAATTTGTAAAAGCTTAAGCTTAAGAACATTATTCATAAGTAATAAGAGGAGACTTTAAGAAATTTCTTATTCCTTTTCTGGAGACAAAGATCTCACTGCTACCTTTGACAATCTAGTTTCTAGGCTTTCAACTTTTAGGATCCCTTTTCTTTTTGATAATTCGTGCATCTTTATCTTTATTTTAGTTGTTTTATCTTTATTTTGTAGAAAGGTAGATATATAGAGAAACTGATAAATATATTGTATCAATAAGAGGATAGTTTGATATTCTTGTGTCACATGTGTATTATCTAACTATATGAATCAACTTTTTTCCCTTCTATGCAGACACATCTAGGGATGTCAACGAGAGGACTCTTGTTATCTTTCTTTTATCTAGTACTCCACTGTAAATTAAGCTTCCTTTTCAAACCTCTCATTTTATTAGAGCGAACTATATTCACCCTCTCATCGTATATAAATTTCTAAATTCATTTACCTCGATCAGGATCAATTCAAATTTTTCATGGATTTGGGCATTTGATTTTCCTTAATGTAATTGAGCGTGAATGGAAATATCTTTGCGAACATGAAGTTATGGATCATATTTCCACGAAATTAGCTCGAAAAATCACTCTTGAACAAGTAGAGCAAGAACGCTATCATATATAAGAAAAAATTGTTATATTTTGATAGTGGTTAGCACTTTCTCTAACTATAGTTTTTTTATAAAAAAAAAGAAATGTGAAATGTTCAAGAGGTAGGAAAAAGAGAGACACGTTTGACTTTTCATAATCTTGATATGTTTGACTTCTTAAAAATGAATTATTTAATTTGATATCCAATTCACTTTGAGAATTGGGGAAACTAACATGAAGATGACCTAATATAATGTAAATACTTTTTTATTTTTACAATTGTTAGTGTATAAATGTTGCAAAACAGGAAAAAGATCGAGATGCCACGTTATGAAAGTAGGAATGATGTTGGGTTTGTTTGGTTATGAAATAGACGAATATATTTCGAATTATGATAAATGGTATATAAATATCCTTCATCATATTTTGAGATATTGGTGCCGTGCCGTTCAAAAATTAGAGTGTATATATCGTTCGCTCTAATGGAAAACTAAATAGGAAATGTGGCGCAATCTTATCCATTGATCCGATGTCGGATTGGTAGATAAGATTATAACACGTGTATTTTCATTAGAATCAAGGGTATATGCTCTAGTTTTTGGACGACATGGGCACTAATGTCGCTAAAGTGTGACGAAAGGTATTTGTATATCATTTATGATAGTGCGGTCCCTTCTTTTAATATTTTATTAAGAATTTTGTAACTTCTTTTCAAAAAAAATTCATCTGATACTCAGTATTTATATTAAAGTTCGATTAAATTTAAATTCATGCCGCATTATACTGTGTTTGTACAAAACTAAAGTTATATAGTTTCGATTTTATTAGAGGCATATTGTCTTTGAGTAAATTCTAAAAATGTACCTCAAAATTAAGTGAATTTTATCAAGTTTAGAGCAGTTTGATAGCTCGCAAGGTCCGTAAACCTGATGTCAGAGATTCAAATATTGTCCCCACAACATCTTGTTCTGGAGTTAGTAATTAATTCCCGCTATGCCTTCTCTATTTAGATTTTACAAATTCAATCTTAGCAATACAAATAACTCAAATGCAAGTAGTTTAGCAACTGTAGTATGTCATTTTCAACCACCAAATTTAGACTTGCTTCATCATCAAAAAAGCCTTTTGAAGTAGGTTTAAGTGATATCAAGTAATAATAGCAAGAGTTATGGAGGTCATTCTCAAATCATAACAAGAGTCTAAAAGTTACTCTTTTCATTTCATATTACTTAATCATATTGATCTGACACGTTTCTTTTTTAAAAAAAGTGTAGTTTATTAAATAAATTTTATCAACGATGTTTTGAAACTGTAAATTTAACTATTAATTTTATTTTATGTAATTATTTAACACTAAAAATAACATAAGAAAATCTCTCATAATTTACTAATCTGACAAGTAAAATAAAATGGATGGAGTATAATAAATGGCATATAACACTCATAAGCAAATTGAAGCACTTAATGAACTAGCTTCATGATGATGCAGTTTCCCAAACAACAAGTGAAGCCCATGACACTA